TTTTTTTTTTTTTGGGTCCGGTCGTGGGGCCTGAACTCTGGGCCTAGGCGCTGTCCCTCAGCTCTTCAGCTCAAGGCTAGCGCTCTACCACTTGAACCACAGCGCCACTTCTGGCTTTTTTCTTTTTGCTTATGTGGTGTTGAGGAATCGAGCCCAGGGCCTCAGGCATGCAAGGCAAGCGCTCTACCACTGAGCCACCTTCCTAGCCTGCATCCATAATTCTTACAGAAGAAAGATGCTTATTTGCACTTAATGCATGAATAAATTGGAGCAGTGAGTAGCATGTTCCGTATCTGCTTTTATATCATATTTAGCCTGGTTGGCCCTTATGTCCTTTTTTTCCCGTTCTTACGTTATATTAAACTGTCCAAGTGATTTTTTTTTTAAGGTAGTACCTTAAGTTAAATGTTATATCCCTTCTGGTAGTGAAAGTTAATACTTTTGGCAAGTTTCAAGGTCATAATGCCTTCAAATACATGATCTTCTATTTCTTCAGCTTTCACTTAGAGCAAGTTAACTTTTGGGAGTCTTTGCTTGAGTTAAACATATAAAATAGTAATTATTAAGCTTGTTAAGATTGGCAAATCTTAAGGCACCTTATAATACAGAGCTCATGTATATTTAAGATTTAGTATATACTTTTCTCTTTAAGCCATACCAACTGTCAGAATTCTCTTTAAAATACTCTCTTACCCTCAAGGGAAATCTGCTTTGAGAAAGTGATGATCATGTATTAATTATTTCAATTTTTTTTTCCATCTGAGGCCAGTGCTCCAACTTGCTATCTAATGCTTTACATTCATTGGCAGGCACCCTACCACCTGATTCATGTCTTCAGTCCAAGTTTTTTTAAAGGGCTGTGTATGTGTGTGTACATGCATACACATATGCATGTGTCTGTATGTGTGCGTTTGTGCACCTGTGCCAGTCTTGTGGCTTGAACTCAAGGCCAGGGCACTGCCCTTAACCTTTTGTGCTCAAGGCTAGTACCCTACTACTTGAGCACAGATCCACTTCTGGCTTTTGCTGGTTAATTGAAGATAAGAGCTGGGCTGGCTTTGAACTGTGATCCTCAGATCTTAGTCTCCTAAGCGTTAAGTTACAGGCCACTGGTGTTTAAAGGGCTTATAAAAAGAAAAAGTTGAAGCTTTTTTTTTTTTTTGTACTTGTAGGCATTTGTCTGCAGTGTCCTCAAATCTTTTAGAAGAGGGTTTTGTGCATTTGTTTAAATATATTTCATTTCTTCTTCTATGTGTGTATGTGTTTTATGTGTGCCAGTACTGGATCCGAACTCAGGGTGGTGCACTCTTCCTTAGCTTTTTTGCTTAAGGCTGGTGGTACTCTCACTTGAGTTACACCTCTGCTTTCAGCTTTTTGTTAGTTAATTGGAGACTTTTCTGCCCATGCTGGCTTTGTACTATCATACTCAGATATCAGCTTCCTGAGTAACTAGGACAACAGTGTGAGCCACTCACACCAGACCATTTCTTAATTCTTAATTATCAATACTATCAGATTAAATATACTATCAGATTAGATAGTTTAGTTCTGGATCATTTACTGGATTTGGTTATCATGTGTCTTTTGGCTCTGTTCTGACATTTTAATCTTTGTTCTTTGAGGGGGTAAATAAATTTATTTACCTAGTGAGTTACTAAGTAGTGGTAGAACTTTTTCATTTTGAAGAGATGAGTTAACAATACAGTCTTGTTCTTATGCATAATTCTCTTATTTTCTATTGTTATTTAATAATATTTTATGGTTGGAATATGTGTGTGTGTCTTTTAGAAATACGAAGATATTCATGGAACAAAATATCAACATGGTTTAAAGTGTTGAATTTTCATTAAATACTTGTAAGAATGATTCTTGGCTACATAAGAATTATGTAGCCAAGAATTTTTATAAGTATAGTGTAGACATGTGTACAGAGTAGGTACAACACTTGTTTCAATGAAGGAAATTTAGTGGAAAGTTAACTTTCATCATAAATACCAAGTTTAAGATAGTATAATCTAGGTAGAATAATTTGGATCTTATCTCTAATCATTTCAAACATGAGTAGCTGCAAAAATTGTTTACCATAATCTCAGATAACTTGAGTTATCATAACCTAAGGTTTTTGAAGCAGTAGAAGAAAGTAAGCTTCATTAACTCATTTTAAACTTTTTTTAGGTAAATGAATTGGTGGATGCCAGAGATGTCGGCCTTGGTGCTTGGTTTGAAGCACATATACATAGTGTTACTAGAGCTTCTGATGGACATTCACGTGGCAAAACTCCACTGAAGAATGGCAGTTCTTATAAAAGGACTAATGGAAATATAAATCATAATTCCAAAGAGAACACAAATAAATTGGACAATGTACCCTCTACGTCTAATTCAGACTCTGTTGCTGCTGATGAAGACGTTATTTATCATATCGAGTATGATGAGTAAGTGCTCATGCTATTGAGGACTTCATTCATGTTTTTCTGCATAGAAACAAGCCTGGTGTTTCTACATTATTTTAGTCTTTCTGAAGAAATCTTTTAGAGGTCATGTATAATCTATTACTTTTTGTTTGGTTTGGTGATTGTTACCTAGTGAGTAAGGTCCCTTCAACTCCTAGTTATCTGGTGTGTAAGTGGTTTGTTTTCACCATCCTAATATTTGGCTTAATTTAGGATGTTCAGGTTTCTGTTTGTCTTTTTACTATAAACAGTATTTCGTAACATGGAACATTAGAACAAGGTAAAATATTTTAAAGAGCTTTTTATTGAAATAATTTACATATAAATTGTTCATTTCAATGGGTACAATTTAATGTTTTTTAAACACATTCACAGGATTATACATTATTACAAACTAAGTTTAGAATATTTTTTTGTCCTCTAAAAGGAGTTCCATTCTCATTAGAAGTAACTCTCCAATCCTCTGACAAAATATATTCTGAAATACTACTATGGAAACGGTGTTCAGACTTGGCCTTGAGAGTCTAGACTAACACAAATTTTAGTTATTCCTTGAAAAGTATTTCAGAGCAAGGTGCTGGTGGCTCACACCTGTAATCCTAGCTACTCAGGAAGCTGAGATCTGAGGATCATACTTCAGAGCCAGCCTAGATAGGAAAGTTCATTAGACTTAAATCTCTAATTAACTTCCAGAAAACTGGAAGTGGTGCTGTGGCTCAAAGTTGTAGAGTGAAAAAGCTGAAGGACAGCGCCCAAGCCCTGAGTTCAAGCCCTATGATAACCAACAACAACAACAAATTTTCAGTATAAAATTTACTGTTTGGATAAATTCAGTAAACTAAAAACACTACATGAACTTAAGTCTCCTCTCAAATGATACCTTTATGTATTGAAAATATGTTACCAAGTTCTTGTTGTGTATAAGAGTTCAAATTCTTAGATTGGTGTGAATTTTCTTAACTCAAGATGATATAAGAAAACTTACATGCCTGGAAAGTGATTTTTAAAAATAGAGCCCTTTAAGAAATAGAGCCCTTTAAGTTTTCTTTTTCTGATACTTCTTGTAGTTATGGCTAGCCTACTTACTGATAATTTGTAATGAGCCATCATCTGCCTGCACCAGATGTAGGTATGCAGAGCATTGTGTAGTGTGTAATTTAGAGAGAGATTGTATAGGGAAAGGTGAGGAGGAGGTGTGGTCACAGTGGATATGGAAGTGATCCCCAATCCTTTTGCTGACTCAGTCAGGTAATTAACAGTTTCAGGTGATTACTAGTTTTGGGCAGGTGATTTCTGGTGAAACTACATGCTGTTCTTCATGAAGGGGAAGGGGGCTATTCTCTCAGGCAGACCTAACATCATCATGATTAAAGATAATGGAACCAATAATGAGAATGAGTATAAAGTTAGGGCATTTGCCATAACTAATAATATTGGTGAGTATGGGAGTACAATAGAAAAGAGGTTAGAGTCAGTGTATGGAGATAGTAAGTTTATATGTCATGGCATAGTGGCAGCGTTAGTTGTGGGAGACTTTGGCCAAGAAGCAGTGTTTTAAATTCTTCACTGAGTTTTCTCTTGACAAGCTGGAGAAATTACTAGGAAAACTGCTATGTAAGATCTCAATCTAGCCAATGAAATTTTTTATTTGGTTAAAATACTTTGCAGAATGGCACAAAAAGAAATAACAGTACTGTATGAAGATTTAAACATTAACTGAATCAAAGCTTAATATGCTTCACAGATTTTTTATTGGGGGGGGGCAGTTAGTGCTGGTCCTGAGGCTTGAACTCAAGCCTTAGGTGCTGTCCTTGTGCTTTTTTGTTCAAGGTTAGCAGTCTACCACTTGAGCCATAGCTCCATACCTGGCTTTTTGGGTTCTCTCTTTCTTTCTTTTTTTTCTTTTCTTTTTTTTTTTTTTTGTTGTTGGTTATGGGCCTGAACTCTGGGCCTGGGCGCTGTCCCTGAGCTCTTCAGCTCAAGGCTAGCTAGTGCTCTATCACTTAAGCCATAGTACTACTTTTGGCTTTTTCTGCTTATATGGTGCTGAGGAATTGAACCCAGGGCCTTATGCATGCAAGGCCAGCACTCTACCACTGAGCCACCTTCCTAGCTCCCCTTTTTGTGTTCTTAATTAGAGATAAGCATCTCATGGACTTTACTGTCCCACTGTCTTCAAACCATGAACCTTAGATCACAGCCTCTCCAGTAGTTAGAATTATAGGTATGAGCCACTGGTGCCTGACAGCTTCAAGGTTTTAAAGTCTGATTTTAAAGTAAGATGATATAGAGAATAGACCCAAATGTTTGAGTTTGGTGTAACATTAAGAGCAAAAAGCAAGTTATCTTAATGTTTACTTGGCTATCATACAGTGGGGTTACAATTACATGGGCAAGGTAATGAATACATTTCTTATCAAGCATTGTTGCCTCCTCCTTTGTTTCCCCTTCTCATATCTCCCCCGCCTCACCAAAGTTGTAAGGTTTGTTTTTTGACATAACATCTTTTTTTTTTTTTTGGTTGGTCGTGGGGCTTGAATTCTGGGCTTAGGTGCTGTCCTTGGCTCTTCAGCTCAAGGCGAGCGCTCTACCGCTTGAGCCACAGCACCACTTCCAGTTTTCTAGTGGTTTATTGGAGATAAGAGGCTCATAGACTTTCCTGCCCGGGCTGGCTTTGAACCGTGATCCTCAGATCTCAGCCTCCTGAGTAGCTAGGATTACAGGCGTGAGCCACCAGTGCCCAACTCGACATAACATCTTATACAGCTCATTAATGGAGAAAATGTCTTGATTAGAATGAATGTCAATAGTAAAAAAAGAATCTAGGTCCAAAATACATAAGAAATCTAAAATATTCTTCCATGAGTTAAATGTTTCAGTCTTGATAACCCAAAGGTATAATAGATGAACTTCCTTTGAAATAAAAGATAACAGAAATGGGGCTGGGAAGGTGGCTGAGTGATAGAGTGCTTGCCTAGTAGGCATGAGGTCCTGGGTTCGATTCCTCAGTACCACATAAGCAGAAAAAGCCGAAAGTGGTTCTGTGGCTCAAGTGGTAGAGCACTAGCCTTAAGCTGAAGAGCTGAGGGACAGTGCCCAGGCCCAGAGTTCAGGCCTGATGACTAACAACAACAACAACAAAAAAAAAACAGAAACTTAGTTGTAAGTAAATGTCATTTACATTTCTAAAAAGGTAAAAAGAATGGGCTAGGAAGGTGGCTCAGTGGTAGAGCGCTTGCCTTGCATGCATAAAGCCCTGGGTCTATTCCTCAGCACCACATAAGCAGAAAAGGCCTGAAGTGGCACTGTGGCTGAAGTGGTAGGGTGCTAACGTTGAGCTAAAGACCTGAAGGAGAGAGGTCAGGCCCCCTGACCAACCAAAAAAATAAATAAAAAGAACTGTATTAAAGATAGTGTAAAATATATAAAATAGTGGATAAAAATCTGTATAACAAATGGATGGTATAATGTCCTAAAAAGAGTGTCTTTGTGATCTGATCTGAATATGATAATCTTTTCTTCATGGTCATTCGAACAAATAAGTTTTAAAAAAATGATGGACTACTTGCTAATTTTAATAAATCATCAAGTTCTTTGGATTAAAAAAGCAGGGTACCAGTGGCTCATGCCTGTCATCCTAGCTTCTCAGGAGGCTGAGATCTGAGGATCATGGTTCAAAGCCAGCTGGGGCAGGAAAGTCCATGAGACTTATCTCCAAGTGACCACCAGAAACCAAGTGGCTCTTTGGCTCAGGTGGTAGATCCCTTTCCTTGAGCTGAAGAGCTCAGGGACAGTGCCCAGGCCTAGAGTTCATGCCCCAAGACTGACCCAAAACAACAACACCAAAAAAACCCCCAACAACACTGAAGATTGCTGTTGGAGCATTTCCCCGATTCTATCCCAAAGAGACAGTCATCTTGTGTTGCTTTGATTGGTCCCCAAACTCCTGTGCTTGAGTGATCCTCTTAGCTTCCTAAGTGGCTGGAACTGCAGGCCCATGCTGCTGTGCCCATCTGTGATAAATATTGGTTGAATATTAAGCTTCAGGTGACTCAATAGAATGTAGCTGTCAAATGGGTGATGTTGCGATTATACTGGACTGGCTGTTCCATATCCATAATATTATCCGCCAGCTCCCATGCTTTAAAAACAATACCAACACGACCAGGTTCATGATGGTAAACATCAAAATATAAACTTGTAAATCACAATGAAGAGTAATTGAAAGAACTAAATATTTAGCTTGAAAAACTTGAAGCATAATAACTTTTATTGTGAACTCTGTCTAGTGGAAATTTCTATATAACACACTGGTAAGTTTCAGGATTAACCAACCTACAGTCAGGTCTCTTAAAGGCAGAGAATAATTTGACTTGAGAAGTAGCCAATTTGGAAACAAGCATTGGTTATCTTCCACTTTAGAGACTTTGTTAAGTTACCATTGCCAAATGTGCTGGTACTAATTGTGCTGGTACTGAGAATTGACTTCAGGGCCTTAAGCTTGATAGGCAATAGAGAATTTACAAAGTTAGTGATTGTAGATGACATTTATCTTCAGTGTAATTTTTACTTCCAAAACATTGTTTCTCAGGTTCACCTTTTTAATACTTTAAGTGGGCTGTCATCCTATTCCAGTTATGTACTAACTAGGTACTACCATATTTTTATCAGTGAACTAGCTGTTGTACATTAGCATTATCTCCAAACCTCTGAGAACCTTGAGCCAGTTGTCCTTAAGCATAGGTGAGAGAGGTATACTACATGGGATTCTACATGTGCTCCACTGTTTGAGCCATGCCTCTGGTTTGTTTTTCAGAGACTTTTCTGCTGGGCTAGCCACAAACTGCAACTCTTCGGGTCTCATCTTTTTTATTCTTTATTATTTTAATTGATATGAAATGATTCATCTATCATCACTTTTTGTTTTTGTCAGTTGTGGGGCTTGAACTCTGGGCCTGGGCGCTGTCTCTCAGCTCTTCAGC